GGAGGTTGAGTTCCTGGTCGATGTTTGAGGCCGCTCGGTATGTGCAGACGTCGGGAGGGCCATTTCATACCACTCTGGAAGTTCAGGGGCTCTATTCATCGGGTCTCGGGCTGCCCCAGTGGTTTATCCGGAGCGCGGGCCATGGACGCATCCAGGGCGTTCGTCCCGTGCGAAGTTCCGCAGACCGCGGCCAGCGGCTGCCGGCAGCCGCTCCACATCCGCGGCTGCTCCGCGCTATCTGCCCAGACCTCCGACGCAGCTCCTCTTGTCTCGGGTGCGGGGCTCCTCTCTGAGGCCTGCAGAGGCCCGCGGGGATCCCCAGGGACCTCAGAGTTCTCCAGGGACCTCTGGAGGGCGGGTGATGACGCGGGCCCCTTACGGAACTCTCGGCCTCATCCGCGCCAAAGAATGTCAGGAGGAAGAAAAGCGCAGACACAAGTAATCGTCGAGCCCCCGGGAAGATATGGCAATATGTGAAGTGGGAGGGAAGACGATCATGAAGAAACATGGGAAGTATGGAGATTCTTGGGGTTCGTGTCTATTTACCTGTGTGTGTGTGTCCCTGGGCCCCTTTAGAGGAGAGGGTTTGGGAGGCCCCGGGGCGTGGACGTTCCCGGGCCCGCCAGCGGGGGCCGCGGAGTCGCGAGCGGGCGGGGGGCGCGCTCGGGGGGGGCAGGGGCTCAAAGGGGGGGAGCGCGTCGACCCCCCGTCGCCCATTCGTCGCCCAGGGGCGGGGGCCCGACGGCTCCCCCCCCGCCCAGGAAGGCGCGGCTCCTTTCTCGGGGGCCTGTCTGCGAAGTATCGCCGAGTCAGGCTCGACGCTTCTCCCCACGAGCTGGTCCCCCCCCCCCGTCTATCCCCATTTACGCGAGCGAAGGAAAGCCCCATTGACGCACCCCCTCCGGGGCACTCAAGTTCCTTCGGTTCGCACGAAGGTCTCGACAAGAAAGCGGGTCGACTGCCCGCTTACGTGATCAAGGCCGTGATCCGCCAGGAGTACCACAATGGCGGCCCGAATAAGCCCTCGTGTCGGGTCGCCGCGTCCCCTCATGTTGCATTTCGTTGCCCAGGCTTCCGAGATGGGGCCAGAGTAGATAAGGTTGGTTGATCGAGGTGCATCGCCGAGGCATCGGTTTTCTGGAGCGTGATTTTCTCGATCCCGACGTCGTCGATGCATCTGCGATGCGGCTCGATCTTTGTGCCTTGTTCCCCTCTGCACAATCCAGGAGGCCTCCAAGTGTGACTGCTTCGGGGCTGGCCAGCCCCAGCAAAAACGCCCTTCGTCATCTGTGTCGCGAGGCCCACCTGTTTGAGCCCCCAGGCAGCCGATACCGTGAGTTCTCCAACACACGGGGCACCCGTGCCTTCTCGACCCCCTTCCCAGGGTCCGCTCGTCCCAGGCCGTCTTCTGCCGGCCCCCGGGGACCGCCTGCGTTCCCTGGAGGGGCCCAGAAACGCCCCGCAGGAGACCGAGGACTGCGACACTTCTGCATTGATCTTCTCAAGGCGGATCCTTGGATCCCTCCCAGAGCGAGTCAATCTTGGGTGTTCGTTTCGGGATGCGTCCAGCCGTGGCGACGATGACCTCCAGAAGCATCAACAAAAAATCCCAAAGTCGTCTGTTTCCTATGCATTGTTTTGCCGATCGGCGCGGGCACTCGCACCCCCTCCCCCCCTCCCCCCCATGGAGTAGATCTTGGCTGTTTCTGGCGCGTGTTTCGAGCAGGTGGAGTCTCCCCAGTGGGGCGCACTGCTGCAAGCAGTTGCATTCAGCAGAGGTCCGGAGCCAGACCCCCCCCCCTAACCCCACCTTCCGCCCAGTGTCGAGTCGCCGAGAACGAGCAAAAACGTTCACACACGGGTCTGGGCCTGCGTCCCGTCTCCGAGGAGTTGGAGGTCTGGGCCTCCCTCGGGCGCGGCGGCCGGTGCTGCTGCGGCGGGCGGGCGGGCGGGCGGGGCGGCTCGCCCGGCGGTGGCCGCCGCGGGCTTTCTGCTCGTCGTGGGCGGCCTGGCGGAGGGCGGGCTCGGCAGCAGGGGCCCGGGGCTCGCGGTTGGGCCCGGCCGTCTCGGGCGGATGGCAACGGCTTGGCATCGCTCGAGCACGCGTTGTTTTTTCTCGAGGAAAAACGAGAGCAGAATAACCTCTAACCCTAATTACACGACGAAGACGTGGCCTCACTGAGGTCCCCGTCTTCGCATTAGGGATAGTAATTCTGGGCGGTTCGGTTCGGCAGATCTACAGAAACGACCCCCTATCCCTAATGTTTTTGGCCCTCCCAAATTCGGTCCCCCCCAAAACGGTTAGGGGTCCTGTTTTGGTTGGGGGGGAAGATCCTGAACCATCTTGCGAAAAATGAGCGCACGAAGCCCAAAAATGCGCGAGGAATGGGCGTCCGAGCGATGGCAAGATGGAGGGGGTGACCCAAGTGGTGGGTGAAGGGAAAGGCCCCTGGAGGGGCTCTTCAGGGTCCCTGCTGGCTCCAGAAGAGGGGCCCTGGAGGCTCCCCTTGCCCCTTGGGGCCCTTTCCTTCACCTCCCGTGCAGGTCACGCCCCATTACCACCCGCCCGACCGTTCCCCCCTCGCCCAGGGGGCCGGGGCGGCGTGTGCCTAGGTCCGGGTGCCCGGGGGTGGGCGATCGCAAACATGGATCAAGGGGGCGTGGATTGGTGATAGTTTTTTATTTGTTGTTTTGCCGATCGGCGCGGGCCCCAGAACCCCCCCCTCCCCCCCCAATGGAGTAGATCTTGGCCGCTTTTTGGCGCCTGTTTCGAGCGGGTGGAGTCTCCCCCAGAGGCAGCACTCTTGCAAACAATCGCACTAAGCAGAGGTCTGGAGCCAGACCACCCCTCCCCCCCCTTTTATGCCCAATGTCGAAACGCCGAATAAAGAAAACGCTCACCTTGCGACGGGTCCCGATTCCATGGGAAATCGCGGACTTCCGCCGCCGAGCGAGGCGGCGCCGGCCGCATTCTGGGAAGAGCACCTCCCCCGATCCAGGGATTGCGAAGGCCTTACGGCCGGTGCCGCCGACCCTAAAGACGACGAAGATGAGAGGGAAGGGGGGTGTGGAGGGGGAGGATATGAGATATGAGATACCGAGGGACACAGTGTCCCGCCTTCGCGACAGCACGGGGCCCCCGCAGGCCTCCAGGGTCCCCAAGGGCCCCCAGGGCCACGCAGGGTCTCGGAGCTGGGCCACCTTCGGGATGGCCTCCGATCGCGCGCCAGCCTCAAGTGGTCCTCGAAGCAGCACGCGTACTTGAGACCCACTGCAGCACGTTCACCTCCATCTCGATGGGTTACCCACCGCACGCGGGCCGAAGTGCTCGTACAGAGGGTCGTCAGCGCTCTCCCCGCTCCCGCTCTCGTCGCTGTCCTCCTGCTCGAAGGACTGGAGCTGGCGGGCACGATCCCGCAGAGCAGCAGTAGCGCGTCGGTCGCGACGATGCCCGCCATGCTTGAGGATCGTGGTGTCCAGCAGCGGTGGAGGCAAGGTGCGCGGGAGCAGCCAGCTAGGCGGGCGCCGCTCGGCCTCGACGTTCTGATCGTCAAGGCACTGCAGGCATTAGCACAGCGCCGCGTGGCGCATCCCGCGGGGCTGCTGGTATGTCCTGCGCGAGCCGTCTGGCAAGGTCGTCGAAATGGCATGGCCACGGATGACCTCGACCATTTCTTGCCAGCACGTCTCATTGGCGTCGGTGACCACATTTTTGAAATCCTGCTTGAGCTCCGTGTGGTCGCCGATCTTGGCCGCCAGCACCGCGTCAGCCTGGCGATCTTGCCGCTCCAGCAGTGGCCATGTGGCCGCAGGGCCCTCTGACCCCAGGGCAGGGCGGGAGGACACCGCCGCGGCGCGCGCCAGGCGCGCGGCCTCGGCCACAGTGTCAGCCAGCCTGGCCGCAGCGCGCTTGAGGTGGGCGTCCCCGTCGGCGAACTCCTGAGACCCCGTGTGGTCGTCGCCGACGTGCCCAGGTCCCATCCTGCCGTCTACCGAGGACTGCGTCTCGGCACTGCAGGGACCCCGCCGTCTACCGAGGACTGCGTCTCGGCACGGCGAGGGATTCGTAGGGCCCATCCTGCCGTCTACCGAGGACTGCGTCTCGGCACTGCAGGGACCCCGCCGTATACCGAGGACAGTGTCTCGGCACGGCGGGGAGTTTTGTGTGGTGCCTCCAGGCTCCTGATGAGCAGCACCTGGAATACCAGTGGCGAGATGAACAGCTCCGCGAAACCCTTCAGCGTGAGGCTGACCTTGAAGATCAGCGCCAGAAACCTCACCAGCGCAGTAGCCTCCGCTAAGGACTGCCGCGGGGTGGGCTGTCAGATAGACGGCGACCGCAGCACTGCACGCGGCTGCCGGCGGCGGTGGCTCGGCCGTGCAGGCCGTGGCATCGCCGTCCTCCTCGATGGTCACGTCGAGCTCCGCGTCGTCGCAGGACTCCTCATGGAATCCCGTCTCGCACTCTGTCGCCTGGCCCTCTTGGACGAAGGGCGCGACCGTATCCAGCTGGATTGGCACCTGGTCCTCGCAGTAGTCGGGCGCGATTGCGCCGAGGAGGCCGAGGGGGACGAATACAGGCGCCTCCGCCCGCAGCACACTCCCGTGTGGCAGCCCAGCCGTATCCACCTTGACTGTGCTCGCCACAACATCAGCTACGCAAATCTCGACCACGCAATCCACTGCAGCCGAAGGCGTCGCTGCAAGAAGCGGCTGGTGCCTCGCTTTGTCGCCGTCGCTCTTTATCTCCATGCCTCTGTGCACGAAGTCTGTGTCCACGTCGAGCGTCTTGGCCACCGCGCGCAGTGCATCGCCCAACCGATGCATGTGGCGGCCAAGGGCGACGTCAGCCCTGTGGTGCAGCAGCAGCGCCCTGCCGAGGCTGACGAGGCGATCCTCAAGGGCGGCCGCCAGGTCCGTGGGGGGAGCCAGCACCGCCACCGCAGCAGCGGCAGCAGCCGTCGCCGTGGCCCCGTCCCGCTCCAGGGCTCGCTCCCTGCGCAGCCTGCGCGCAAGCGTGGCCGCCGAGCGTCGAGCCCAGGCCTGCCCGCAACGTGGCCCTGCTCCAGACATCGCCCCAGAGGGCGCCGCCCGAGGGCCTCCCGCAACCATCATGCCCGAACCGCGCGCCAGGGGGGATTCGAGCCAGGCTTGAGCCAAAATGGCTACGGCGTGTGGAGGGGGAGGAGGTGGAGTGGCAGGAGGAGGAGGAGCAGGAGGAGGAAGTGGTGCAGGAGGTGAATCAGGGAGGAGGAGGGGGGAAGGAGGAGAAGGAAGAGGAGGAGGAGGAGGAGAAGGAGGGGAGGAGTCTCTTGGAGCCTTGGTGGGGGTGTTCTTGGAGCCTTGGAGCCTCTTGGAGCCTTGGAGAGCTCCTGGGACGTCTAGGAGGCTTCTTGGATCGTCTTGGGGCCATCTTGGCCGTGCTGGGCCGATCTTTGAGCGACGCTGGGCTCTTGTGGGTAATCTTGGGATCCATCTTCGGCATTCTGGGTTCTTTTTGGGGCTGTTCGATATGTCGGGGCCGTCCGGGGGAAAACGAAACTGGGTGGCGACGCCCCCTGGGACCCCCTCCGGACCCCCTCTGGGACCCCCCCCCGCGGGGAAGGGATCAAAGGGAAGGGGCTTCCCTTCGACTCCAATTACGGCGTTGTGCAATTTCGCTTTGGATGGCACGCTTGAGGAGGGCCCAAGGAAAGTGACGAGGGACAACGGACACGGCGAGGAGACGAGTGTTACGACGACGAAGACGACGAGGAGACGACGGAGACGACAACTCGAACGGAGAAGCCCCTCGCACACGCCGACAGGGTCGGCGGATTTGGCGACCGCGCCCCAAATCCATGGATCGCTAACCCACGTTTGCGCGCCCCGAACAGGGGTGGGCCTGGCCAGGGACCTGCGCAGGTGCAGAGAGAGAGAGAGAGTCGGTTCTGCTCGACACCGGTATGTGTGTGTGTGTGTGTGCGAATGTGTGTGTGTGTGTGTCTGTGTGTGTGTGTCTATGTGTGTGTGTGTGTGTGTCTGTGTTTGTCTGTGTGTGTCTGTGTGTGTGTGTCTGCGTGTGTGTCTGTGTGTCTGTGTGTGTCTGTGTGTCTGTGTGTCTGTGTGTGTGTTGCTCCTCGCGCGGGCACGGCCCGGGGTGTCTCGCCCGCGCCGCGTTCTCGCACCCCTCCCTCGGGGATGCTCGAGGATCGAGGAGCTTCGAGGAGGTTTGAGGATTGAGGAGGTTCTCGCTCTCGCCCTCGAGGAGGTTCGAGCATCGAGGTTTCTGGACGTCTTCCTCACTCTCGTGCCTCTGGCGCGGCCTCTCTTCGCAGCGGCTGGGTCCCCATCGACGTACTGCTGGCCAAGCCGCGCGTTCCTGTTCTCGTCTCCCCTCCACTTGCCAGCACAGGTGGTATAGTGCTCTGGAGGGGCCGGCGCCCCGGATCTTGTTCTTCAGACCCGTTCTGGCCACCCAGGGGTGCCTCCCAGTGCCAGTCCGATGGGCCGTTAGAAGCAGCTCAGCATGAGCACAAATGTCCCAGACCCAGGACTCATTTCCACCAGTGCTTGTTTCCAATTCCTACATTCGAGTAGGGGATGGACTACATCATTGATTTAACCCAGAATTAGTTTTCTCGTCGAATCGAAGGAAAATCTGCAGAAGCCTCAGTAGATCTACCAGCATTCTAGGTTTTCGTCGTAGATTCGATGGGGAATCAATTTAGGGGTACATCAATTCTGTAGTCGATCCCCTACTCGATATGTGGGGGGCTGTCGGGGAGGAGGAGGAGGAGGAGCAGCAGGATCGATCTGTGTTTTTGAGCGTCCTCTTGGAGCCCCATCGGCATCGGGAGACCGTGCGCCCGCTTCTCGCCCAGCCTCCCCGTCCCCCTCTCCTCTCCCCCCTGCCCACCCTTTATCTCCCTCGCGAAGTACGTCAACGTCGCGTCCTGACCACGTGACCCCTCCTCTCAGGGCCCCATCCTCTGCCCACGCTGCAGCGCGAACACCATATTGTCACCAAAATCAGTCACGCTGCACAACAAATCATAGGATACATCGATATTTGAAGTTTTGTGTCAAACGGGGTCAGGCGAGAGATGAGGGTCGTTTTCATAACGTGTAATTATTGATGGGACGTGGCGGGCGGGCTCGAGCAAGCGGAGGGGAAGTTGAACATGAGGTGAAATGCGTCCCTTTTCAAGGAATCAGGCCTCATCATCTTCATCTACTTGTCTTCTCGCAAATTCGACCCGAGTATTCTCTTCCATCTCCTTCTCTCTATCTCCCGCGTTATCTCTCTCTCTCTCTCTCGTTCTCTTTATGTATGTATTTGTTTCGCGTTCTCTCTCTCTCTCTCTATTTCTCTCTCTCTCTCTCTCCCTCTCTACCTCTCTATTCCCCTGTCATCTCTTGCGTTTTATCATCGATCCTGTCTCATACCTCTCTCATCGCTCTCTATCTCTACGTGATTATCCTCTGTCATATCTCCTCTCCCTCCTCTGCCCTCCTCTCATTCTTCTCTGATCGTCATTACGTCGTATATGTCCTCCTCCTATTATCTTCTTGAGTAATGATTCATAGGTATCATATCCCCCCTGCCCATCCTTTCCTCATCCTGTCGTATTCCTCATCCTTCTTACTCCTCATTCGTTCTCATGCTTCTACTCCCTCCTCGCCGCCCAGGCCAGACCCCCTGGGGTCCTCGGACTCTCGGACCGAATAAGTCCTGGAAAAAGGATGGACGACGTCTTTGGCACCTGACCATGCTCGCTTGACGCCGCCGCGTCGATGTCGTCCTCCTCGTCAATCTCGTCAGTCTCGTCGTCGTCGTCGTTTTCCTCATTGTCGCACCCGTCGTACTTCTCGTCGCCGTCCTCGTCGTCGCTGAGGTCGCCGTCGCCATCGTTGCCGCCGTCGCCCTCGTCACCATCAATATCGTCGTCGTCGTCGCACTCGTCGTTCCAGTCGTTCCAGTCGTCGTCGTCCTCGTCGCCGCACACGCCGCTTCGTCGCTGTCCTCGTCGCCCTCGTCGTCGCTCACGCCGCGCCCGAGGCCGCCGCGCTGGCCGCCGCCGCGGCCGGCGCCCTGCGGCGGTCGCGCGCGCGGCGGGCTGGCGATCGGCCTCGCCGCCACCATCATCACCGCCGTCGTCGCCGACGTTACCGAGGTAGGTCGTCGCCGTCAGCACTGTTTCCGGAGCTTGGGCCCCCCGCCCCATCCACCCCTTCGTCGCCACGGCACGACTGGGCGCGGCTGGGAGAGCGAGTCACGACGGTGCCCACGTTGTGTCCGAGGATTGGTTGTGAGCGGGTGCTCGCACCATCTCCTCAGCTTCTCCTGCCCCCTCCCTCTGTCATCACCCACATGGCTAGCTGCACTGTTCGAGCACGCACACAGCGAAGCCTCGCGTCGCATCATCAACTTTCGCCGCCTCATCATTCCTCCCCCCTCGTCCGCGTCCTGGACCTCGTCGTCTTCCCGGTCTTCCTGCGCCCTCGCTCTCTTCGCTCGTCCTGTTTGGCAGTCATCGGCCTCGCCGTCCTCCCTCCTCCTCATCCTCCTTGCCTTCGTGCTCATCCTTCTCCTCCTCCTCCTCCTTTGTCCTCTTTCTTCCCCGAAGTCCTTTTTCTCCTCCCCCTTATCCTCCCCCCTATGTTCCTCCGCCGCCCCCGCCTCTCCCCCCTCCGCCTCCTCCGCCCCCGCTTCCCTGCGGTAGGTTCACTCGGCGATGGCGCGACGGCGACGCTGGCGAAGGTGCTCAAGGTTGAATTCCGCACGATAGGGCGACGCCGAAGCACCGAGGGACACGGTAACGCCGCAGGACCCGACGGGATTCAATTTTGAACGATCGGGGCCGCGATCGATTCAAGGTTGGACGCTCGACGCGGTGTCAAACACCTGTACGCGCGTCGACGCCAGGCGAACCTGCCGCACTCACCTTCCCCCCTTACTTCCCCTCTCCCCCTCTCCCTGACATCTGCACGGCCCCCGGCCCTTCTCCTGCCAGAGCAGGGGGGAGGGGCACCAGTGAGGCCGACGAGGACGACGACGACGACGACGCCGACGCCGACGCCGACGCCGACGCCGACGACGCCTCCGCTGACGACGACGACGACGACGACGACGCGGCGGCGGCGGCGGCTTCCTTCGAGGCCTCCGTGGGCGGCGGCGCGTCCGCCGCGGAGCTGGTGTCGGCCCTGCCGCCGGCGGGCGTAGCCGGGGGCGGCGGCGCGGCGCTGTTGCTGGTCGAAGCCGCGCGCTTGCGCTCGTTCGACGCCGAGTGGCGACGGCGAGGGCTCGGCGAGGGCGACCTCGACGTCGACGACGAGGAGGGCTGTGTCGGCGTGACGGTGGCGAGAACGATTGCTGCGTCGACGGCGCCATCGACGACCAGGACGACGACGACGACGACGACGACGACAGCCGCGAGGACAAGGACAACGACGGCGGCCACCTGGTCAACGACGTCAACGACAGCGAGCGCGCGCGCGCGCGCTCGCTCAACGACGAGGGACGTGCGGTTTCGCTGTCCGGTTGCGTGCCGCCGATCTATCGGCGACGTATCGCCGATTCCAGGTCCACATTTCCCCCCTGGGCCAAATCCTCCCTCTCGTTGCCCCTCAGACGAGGAGGGCCGCAACGACGGCGAGGACGACCGCGCTGTCGACGGTGCCCTCGACGACCTCGACCGCGAGGGCGATCACGACAGTCACGAGGACGAGGACTACAACGACTGAGGCGGCGGGGACCTCGTCAGCGACGGCCTCGGCGACGACGACGACCAGGACAACGACGAGGGACCTCGATGACAAGGACGACAGCGACGACGAGGACGATTTCGACGAGGACGGCGGCGGCGTTGTCGACGACGACGGCTACGGCGGCGCATGATTTCACCGAGCAGATGCCAGCTGTTTCCATGCACCCGACGACTATACAGCAACACCAGGGACCCCGATGACCGTGGCCTGGCCAGTCTGAGTGAGATAGGGATCTCAACGCGTACGCATGGTTCATCCATCATATTCGACCTCTTTGGGCCGTTTAAGGGTCTGTTGGCGTCAACAAAAATATTTCTGCGAGGGTGGAAAGCCGATCGATCTTAGGGAGAGCCTCGGGATCTGCTACCTCCAGGGCCAGAGCCGATGTGCACAGAAGGCGCTCCACCTCAATCGGCTACGCGTAAAAGTGACCCTTCGCCAGAGTGTCCTGTGGTGCTTGTCCACAGGGTCTCCCTAGTGTTATCTTGCGCGCTTCGATTTGACCCCTCCGCGTCCCGCTGGAGCCGCGCACTGTTGCCTGTGGTCACTCCAGCGTTTAGCCGAAGAGAGAGCCTCGAGGTCGAGGGGGTGACACCTTGCCCCCGGCGGGGGCCGGCGGAAGTCGAAGTCGAGGGCGGGTCCTCCTCCTCCTCCTCCTCCTCCTTCTTTTCCTCCTCCTCCTCCTCCTGGGCGGAGGGCCCGCGGGAGTGGAGTATGCGCAGCAATTCGAATTTGCGGATGAGAGTGAGGGGCAGGCGCGGGGTGGGTCGCGGGGTGGATCGCGGGCCGGGTCGCGGGCCGGGTCGCGGGCCGGGTCGTGGGTGGGTGGCGGGCGGGCCGCGGGCGAGGACGACGACAGCGCAACAGCACAAAAAGCATAACTTGCCAGACGGAACGCCGCTGCCACTCACCCAGGGACACTCATTGACCGTATGGCCCCCGCATTCTGCCTCACCCAAACACATGTTCTGGGGGAGGAGACAACGTTAGGGGGGGGAAGGCTTCAGTCGGACGTGTTCCCCTACAGGAGGAAGATTAGAGAACAGTCAGAAAATAGTCTGGTGCCGATTTTCAGCTATTGTTGGCAACTTGTTATACCTTTTTAGGGTATTTTTTTCTTTGTCGTCCAAAGTCCGCCTGTCGGGGGACATGTCCGACCTGAGGACAGGCTCAGGAGGGGATGCATCGATCTGACTCGTCGCCGACAGGGGCCCGATGGCCCACCCCTGGGCTGCACGTGCGTGCATGTTATATTCCAGCGCTCCGCCCTGCCGCGGCTGAGTGCGCCGGCCTCCCGCGTGCGCGTCTGGCGCGTAGCTTCCATGTGCTCGGCAGAGTGTGTTTCCAGTGGCCTCACGGAACCAGGCGATCGCAAACATGGACTGCGGGGGCGTGGATTAGCGACGCGTCCCGTTTCCATGGGAAATCGCGGGTTTCCGCCGCCGAGCGAGGCGGCACAGGCCGCACTTTGGGGAGGGCAACCTCCCCCGATCCACGGATTTGGCGACCGCGCGCCAAATCCATGGATCGCTAACCCATGTTTGCGCCCCCCCGAGAGAAGGCAGCGAGCAGTAAGCAAGACGAACAGAGGGGTTCTCTGCATCCTCCGCCGCTTCCGTCCCTTCCTCTCCTCTTGCTCCCTCCCCCTCTCCTCCTGCTCTCGGTCCGAACGAAAGGGGGGGGTACGAAATCTGCTACATGCAGCTGGTTTCGGCCCCGCCGCCTGGCCCATTCCTCAATACATGGGCGCCTCCCGGCGCCGGGAGGCGCCAGGAAAATCAGCTACGTGAGCTGATTATCACCCCCCCCCTTTGCTATCCCCCCCTTTCGCCAGGCCCGATGCTCGCCCCACTCTCTGCCTACGGCGACGAACGCCGACCTCGATGATCCGAGAGACCTGGACGACGATGACGGCGATGGCGGCGGCGGCGACCTCGCAGGTGGCGACGGCGGCGATTACGACGACGACGACGACGACGACGACGACGACGACGACGACGACTTCGGCGTCGGCGTCGGCGACCTCCTTGCAGGGCGCGACGGCGGCGACGGCGACCTCCTCGCAGGTCCCCCGTGCGCGCGCGGCGGAGCTGCCGGCGCTTGCCGCTGGCGCGGAGAGCTCGCTGGGGCCTGGCGTGCGGGTGGACGACGGCGATGGCGACGATCACGACGGGGCCGGCGGGCCGTCGGCCGGCGACTGCAAAGGGTGTGGTTAGTTTCGCTGGGGTGTGGCTTGCGACCTGGGTCGTTGGGGCTCGGGGGGCACCACGTTGCACCCGTCCGGCCTCCTCGGGGCGCGGCGGAGAGCTCCGTCGATGTCCTCGCCCGCCTCCCAGGGTGCCGCTTGCAAACCATGCTCTTCGCATCGGGGCTCACGGGACGAGGGTCTGTGCAAACGGGGGTCAGCAAGAGCGCCGGAACTGGCAGGATCCTGCAGAGCCAGGGTTGCATTGACACGGGTTAGGGTGCCGGATCTTCAGGATCTTACAAGGCTTTAGTTCGGGCAGGTCTCTCGACAGGAGATTGGAGGAGTATTCAAGAATAGTTGAACTATAATATGGTGATGATTTCTCGTGCTACTATTATCATACAACGATATGTTTTTGACTATGTTTTTATTGTTTTTTCAAAATCCGCCTGGACGAGGACATGCCAGTCATGATGCAAGGTCTGACTGACCCGTTTTTGGATTGACGTGGGTCAGTAGATCCTCGAGATTGCAAGCCACCTTTTTCGGAGTCGCCAGGTCGGGTGTAGGGGGCCGTCGCCACCGTCGGGGATCCGCCTCGGGGTCTTGGTCAGCACGCGAATTCCAGAGGAGTTCTTGGAGTCGGTCTTGGAGGGCGGAGGATCGTGGGATTTTGTTTTTCCCCATACCCTGAGGATGGGATTCTTATTATGACTTGCACCGCGCCGAGGACCCACCTCCTCCCTCCTCCTCCCTCCTCCTCCTCCTCCTCCTCCTCCTCCTCCTCCTCCTCCTCCTCCTCCTCCTCCTCCTCTTCCTCACGAGACAAAGATGATGAGGATGAGGAGGAGGATGAGGAAGATTTGGGAGCTTGTTTTTGTCCATCCTCTCGCGGTACCCGCCGTCAACAGAGGGGTGGAGGGGGTTGACGTCACGATTCGTGCCGGCGCGAATCGTAACGTTAATTGGGGGGAAGGTTTTTTTTCCTGGTATGGGGCATTATCTCGAATCGTTTGAGAACGCGCTCTGTGCGTTTGTTGTAGTGTGTCTTGTACAGCTTATCCTCTTCTTTCGCTTCGTCGCTGGTGCCTTCACCCTCTTCAGCGCTTCATTACTTTAAAGGCGAGTGGGGGATTGCGAATTGGCAGTCTGGAGCTGCCATTTAATATGCGGTCTTTTCTAATAGCCTTAGGCCCATCCCACCACCGCGCCTGGGTTGTAGGTCGTAGGCCTCTAGGATCTAGGATGTTCGTTGGGATGTCGCAGGAGGCCTCTCGGGGGCCTTGTGGGGGCCTGTTGGGGGCCGTTTGGAGGCCTTTGGGGAGCTGGAAGGGGGCGTCTTGGGGCATCTTGGGGGCCTCTTGGAGAGCCTTTTGAGGCTTCTTGGGGGCCTCTTGGTGGCCTGGTGGGGCCTCCTGGGCGTCCTTCGGGGCCGAGGGCTCGCAATGTCCGTTCGGGTCCCCCGTCGAGGCCCCTTCTTGGAGCCATCTTGGGGGCCTTTTGAGCAGTCTTGGACGCCACTTGTGCAGTCTTGGGCACTCTTGGGCCGTTTGGGCGCCCTCTTGGAGGCCTCTTGGACCGTCTTGGGGCGATATTGACCGTCTTGGGCCGTCTTCGAGCGTCGGGAAGCCGACAAGGCGACAAAGCCAAACTCCGTCAAACACTTAGGGAGCGTCAATGATTTTTGCCGATTGGGGTCCTCTTGGGAGGCCTCTTGGAGGCCTCTTCGGGCGTCTGAGGGGCATCTTGGGCAGTCTTAAGGCTATCACCTTGGGCGTCTTCGAGCGATCGTTCGGCGATTCGGAGCCCTCTTGGACCGTCGTGAGGGCCGCTTGGGGCCCTCTTGGCCCGATTTGGGGCACACTTGGCCACGACAAATTCACGCGGCAAGCTGCGGTCAGCCTCGCAAGAGTTGCGAATTTGGGTCTGGTCTCTTTAATTCCGTGGCCCACAGATATACACCACCACCGCGGGCGGTTTGTCAGGCCATGGAGGTTTGATTGGATTTTTGTGTCGGTGCATCAAGTCACGCGATGATAGCATGCCGTTTGCGCGGCGTCATTTGGGCGCGCGGTTCTATGAGCTAGAAACAGCGCGTTCACATGGTGTATCTTTCAGGCTGGTGTGTGAATTTCTCGGGGAACCGCCGCTTTTTTTCAACACTGCAATGCGTGTTAGCAATTATTCTCGACCAAATGTGACCGCCATCTGCGCACATGGCCACGTGACAGTTCTTTCGTTTGGCGCAGGCACGCACTGGCGGCCACTGTCAAGGTTGCCGCACGCGTGAGTTGTTTCTTTTCAAATGCCGCCTGTTGGTGGTGTATATTCGCAGGCCCCGCGCTACAGAACCCTCAGGAATGTGGACTGGCGCTCCAGTGGACTCTCCAACACTTGCCTCAAGGGCACGTTGGCGGACCTGTGGGAGGGATTAGACATGGAGCGCTCCCTCGTGGGAGGGGGGGCAGGATGACAGTCACAAACATGTTCCGTAGGGGAGCGAGGGCGTACACAGAATTCTTACGTGGACATCTTCAAGTATACTCCTTACGCGGTGCCTTTTCTGGTGGTTGGAAGGGCAGGGGAGGCAAACAGCCATCAAAAACAACAGCTGCTGTGCTGTCGGTCCTCCCCGCCCCCCACCCCACACATCTCAAGGCACCGCATACGAAGACTCTACGCGCAAGTCCCCTCAGGAGGTTCCGACGTGTAAATCTGTCCGGCTGCATGAAGGACGTCCCGCCACCGTGCCGTCCCGCTATTCTTGGTGGCGGTTTCTCGATGGGGCGCATGCGGCCGTGCCGTGTGGCACCTCGTGCCCCGAGGTGTGGGGGAGCCGTGGCGTGTGGCACACTGCGGCCGTCGCGGGACCGCCTTGGGCCATTTTGGGCCTTCGAGCACTCTCTAATCTAAGGCCGCCTCGGGTCCCTCTGGAGGTCTTGTGGGGCCAGTTCGGGGCTGTCTAGGGCTGCCCGTCTAGGGACCCTCTTGGGCTGCCGTGAGGCCATCTTGATGGGTAATTTTTTGTCCGGCAATTTGGGGGGGGGGCTGTTGGGCCGTCTTGGGGCCATCTTTGAGGCCCCCAGGGTCGTCGGAGCTGAAGGACGCCCGACATCCGATCTTCGAGATTCCAAAATTATGCTTGCCTCGTCGGGTCTTGTTGGGGATCATAGTCATTCTGGCCCTCTTGGCCTGTATTGGAGGCCTCTTGGGCCGTCTTGAGGCCACCTTGGACTGCCGCGGCGCCATCCTCCGCCGTCGTGGCGGCGTCTTGGGCCATCTTGGCGGCCTTGTTGTTTGTCTCGGTCGTCCTGGAGGCTCGGGAGCGCGGATCCACTGTTGCTTAACAAGAGCACGGGCCCTGCGTTCTGCTGCAGCGGATTTTGGCTTCGGGAGCGCGAATCAACATTTTCAAACCAGGGGCAGTGGTCTCGACGGGTCAAATCTATTGTTGTTTTACAAAGGATCGTGGCCTCGGGAGTGCAGACTCATACAACGCAGCAGGAGGGGGGACACTCCAGTAACGTGTGAAGCTGAAGAGCAGTAATTCGGATCATCAGCACAAGGAGGACTCAGATGATTTATACTATGCGGGCCGAATTTCCGTGCAGTGGCCGAAAGTCCGTCCACACGGCGCTCTCGCCTCGTCGCGGGCAGCACACCGCCAACGTCACTTGCACGCCGTGGCCAGTTTAAGAACGAATCGTGTGGATGTCTCAGCAAAGACCGGCTTTCTTGGTCCAGATGGGGGACTGGACGACATGGGCGAATCAAACGCACGTTTGACGGAAGTTAAAATCAAAGTGATGTCCTGGCAGATTGGGCCAGTTTGATTGCCGCCAGTTTCCGTCGAACGCGTGCGGAGAAAGGGTCCGACGTTGATAACGGATCAGTATGCAGGCAGTTGCACGTCTCGTGGAGCATGTTGCGGTGTTTATTCAAATGTTTTGCATCGTGAATGTTTGTTCTCCGTGTCGCGTTTCCGTCTACTCACTCCCTCCTCCTCACCTCCTTGTTCTCCTCATCCTCCCCTTCCTTCTCCATATCACGATCAGAATCACCGCGATGTGACAGGCATCGCACTTCAACACAAGGGTGTACCGCCAGGGGATTGGTCACTTACACGTTCGTGCCCAGATTGTGGGGATGTCTCCAGCGGTTCGCTTGTTTCACGGATGTATGCTCGTGTTTTTCAGGGCGGGCGCGTCGTGTTCGCGATGTCGCAACAAACGTTGTTGGGCGCCGCAATGGGGAGCGACCACGGGGTGGAACACTTGCCCGTTGGCGCCCAGCATTCGGGGATATCTCACGCGAGACGTTGGCTTTTTGAGGTGGGCGCAGTTTTTCAGGGCCGCCACGAAGAAAGCGAATTCTTGGATCAGTCTCGGCAGTCGCCGCGGTACTGGGGTGACCGTCGGATCGAAGATTTCGTTGCCGACTTTTTTTTTGGCGCGTATCGTTCAAACCTTTAGGGCAGCCCAGCGTTGGCAAATTTTGCGCGGCGGTTGCACGACGACGGGGTGTGCGCACCGTAGAACCCTTTATGACAGCCCATCGTTGTCAAGATTTTCGTGGCGGTTGTAAGACGAGCGCGGGCACGGTGGTCGCGCCCATTTGGGTGCTCACATTCGTTATGGTTCTCGCATGTGGTTGGCTAGACGTAAAATTTGTGTAGGTCTTGGACAAATCTTTGATAAGCCTTGGCTAGGTCGTGGGCGGGCCTTCCTTGGGCTCTGGGTAAGCCATGTATCAGGTCTTGAAAGGCCGCCAGGTAGGCCTGAGGCAGGCATTGGATAGGCCGTCGAGCTGACCATGGGCAGGCCTTGGGGTTCGTGGGCAGGCATTGGGCAGTTGTCATTGGGTTTGCTCTAGGTGGGCCTTGGACGCTCTGGGTCGTCCAGGCCTTGGGTAGGCGTAGAGTGCGTGAGGGGTGTGCCGAAATCGGGCCCATTG